ACTAGAGGAGCACATCCAGCACGTTCGTCTAGTACTGCAACGCCTCCTAGAGGGTACATTGTTGCCAAGGGTCAACTACAGCCAGACCCAGTCAAGATAAGAGCTGTGGTAGAGTGGCCTGCTCCCACCTCACGCAAACAACTGCAGCGCTTCCTTGGGTTTGCCAACTTCTATCGCAGGTTCATTCAGGACTATAGCAAAGTAGCTACCCCTCTTACCAGACTCACTTCCCCTAAGATTCCATTCTCTTGGCCAGCTTAGCCCGAGCATGCCTTTCAGAGACTGAAGTGCCTGTTTACCTGTGCTCCTGTGCTCCTCCACCCTGACTCTTCCAGACAGTTTGTGCTAGAGGTGGATGCATCTGAGTCGGGGGTGGGGGCTGTCCTCTCTCAGCGCCATCCAGAGACTCACAAGCTTCACCCCTGTGCTTTCTTCTCCATGCGACTCTCTGCAGCAGAACAGAACTATGATGTTGGGGATCGCGAGCTGTTGGCTATAGTGTTAGCCTTACAGGAGTGGAGACACTGGTTGGAAGGATCCAAACACCCATTCCTCATCTGGACTGATCATAAAAATCTGGCTTATCTTCATTCTGCAAAACGCCTAAATTCACGGCAGGCTCGCTGGTCCCTGTTCCTTAGCCGCTTCAACTCATACCGCCCAGGCTCCCGAAACACCAAAGCTGATGCTCTCTCACGTCAGTTTTCCCCTGATTCAGCTTCTTCAGAGCCTGTGCCCATCCTGCCGCCCTCCTGTTTTGTGGGAGCTGCACAGTGGGAGATTGAGTCTATAGTTCGGGCAGCTCAACAAACCTCGCCTGATCCTGGCGGTGGCCCAGCTAATCGCTTGTTTGTCCCTGAAACGGCTCGTTCCCAAGTGTTGCAGTGGGGGCATGCCTCCACACTCACCTGCCATCCTGGTTTTCGACGTACCCTTCTGTTCCTCCAGCAAAGTTTCTGGTGGCCAGGCATGACTCGTGACACAAGAGAGTTTGTGGCTGCCTGTACCGTCTGCGCCCGTAGTAAGGCTTCTCACCTTCCACCTGCTGGTCTTCTACAGCCACTCCCTGTACCCGGCCGCCCATGGTCACACATAGCTGTGGATTTCATCACTGGTCTACCACCTTCTAGAGGTAACACTGTCATCCTCACTATTGTTGACCGTTTCTCGAAGTCTGTTCAATTTGTCCCTCTCCCCAAGTTACCCACTGCTCTTGAGACGGCAGACCTCCTAGTGTCACATGTTTTTAGGATTCATGGGATTCCTGTGGATATAGTTTCTGACAGAGGCCCTCAGTTTTCCTCTCAAGTGTGGCGGTCCTTTTGCCAAGCCATTGGTGCTTCCTCAAGTTTGTCATCTGGGTACCACCCACAATCCAACGGCCAGACAGGATTTGGGGGCGGCCCTCCGGTGTGTCTCTGCCAGGCATCCCTCCTCATGGAGCGTTCAGCTGCCCTGGATTGAATATGCCCACAACTCCCTAGTCAGCTCTGCCACAGGTATGTCCCCATTCATGGCCGCTAATGGCTATCAGCCTCCTCTGTTCCCCACCCAGGAACGTAACGTTGCAGTGCCTTCTGTTCGAGCCCATCTTTGCAGAGTTCAAGCAGTATGGAAGGCCACCCGAGCAGCCCTCACTCGTTCTGCCCAACGCAACAAGGTACTAGCAGATAAACATCGTTCTCCTGCCTCCCTGTACCAACCTGGTCAGAAGGTATGGTTGTCTACACGGGACCTCCCTCTACAGGTTGAGTCACAGAAGCTTGCTCCCCATTACATCGGCCCATTTGAGGTGGAGAAAGTTATCAATCCATCTGCTGTTAGATTGAAATTGCCGGACTCTATAAAGGTTCACCCTACCTTCCATGTTTCTCTGCTAAAGCCTGTGTCCTTTAGTCCCCTTAGCCCTCCGGCCGAACCTCCGCCTCCCGCCCTGTCCATTGATGGCCATCCTGCCTTCATTGTGCGGAAGATCTTGGATGTGAGGCGTCGGGGACGTGGTTTTCAGTATCTCATGGACTGGGAGGGGTACTGATAGGTGTGGCTTGAGAGTTGCTGGCTGCACACAGCTGAGACTAATCTTCATCTGGAGCAGTATTTGAAGCCTGGCTACCTGTGTGCTCACTGCCTGATGGTCACCGTTTGTTGGTAGATGTGCCAACTTCTCTCCCT